CCCCAAAACCCCAAAACCCCATTATACATACATCAATTGAATTAGAGTGTCTAAATAACTTGAGATATTTTTAATAATTTTATGTCTTCTGAGATTCAGCTAATAAAATCGAAAGATTATCGAAAGGTATAGGATTTACTCAAAAGCTACTACAACCCTTCTTGTATTTAACTTCTCAATACTTAAATTAAATTTAGCTGGTAAAATATTGAAACTTGATAGATATGGTTAACAAATATAAATGAATGAAAATCAGAACGACATATCTATACATTAAAGATCAAAGAGTACCTCATCTTATGCTAATAAGCGTGATGGAAGGGTTAACCTCCAAAAACCCAATTTATAGCTAGATACAGAAGAGATTAGCTTGCCAAGCATATACAGATAGAATACGACTAGAAATAGTGTGAGCAAGTCATTCTACATGTTTTAATAGAATTCCAATGCCATATCTTAGAAGTAGATGACTCCAAACAACATTTCTAATTTTAACTTGATAAGGGATTTATCGACTAGTAACTCATCTTCAAGGAACAACAATATTAAGATATCAAGCTTGCTTAAACAAATAAAATCTAATAACCACGAGACAGATGATCTGCTCTAGCCTTCTCTTTAGCAACCCCTGATATCAGAAATGACTACGAACGATTGTATGAAGATAGAGTTCAAGACTACAACATCTAGGTATCAAAACAGCGAGTTCAAGATGACTAATATCTATAAATTAAAGCGGTCTAAAATATAGTTCAATAAGAATACAGAGAAGTAAAATAAAGAAGATCTTGGTGGGTCATTTACTGAATATCACAATAAGCAAGTAAATAATAGAAATGGAATGTCCTTAACTCACTCAAAACATCTTAGTTATTCAGGTCATAGTACTAGAAAATTGAAGCCATTAAAAAACATGAAAGAGCTTAATTGTTCTAGAAACGATGTATTTTAAGAAGCAAATTATAATACCACTTCTGGAAAGCATCAGAAAAGCTTTTCAATAAATCTCAACCTTATGACATAAACTTCTTTTTTCAAAGATAAATCTGATATTATTGGAAAAGATGAGAAGAATGATTAACAAATCACAACTGAAATTAGATAGGATGAATCATCTTTAACAGATGAGAATAAGACTCTAACAATGGAATATAATTAAAGTTAGATATAAGATATGAAAGTAGAAGTTAATATATTTGACAGCAGTCAGATTAAAATTGAGGAATCTGATGAATCATTGGAAATTTCTATCATGTCTTCAGAAAATATTAGCAATGATGAAAAATAAAAGGTTGATATTCCAAGGTTTGATTAAGATAATTAATCTAGCAAAGAAATTGAGTAATTTCAGAGAGGAGCTTCTTAGCTGGTCAAGTTCTTTACTAATAGTAAATCACCTTCTACAATCTCTTTACCGAATCCAGAGAAAGATCATGACTCATAAAATTCCTAGGATGCAATGATTGAAACAATGGAGATTACTAAAGATGATATCATCAAACAGCGTTAAGCAACTTTAAGCAATCCATAGAAGAAATATGACAACAGAAAATATATTAAGTTCCACTAGAGCTCTTCCTTAAAGATAGAAGTTGATTTAAACATAAATTAAAAGGATGTTCTCTAGAGGTTGAAAGCTATCAGATCAGCCAGGAAAGACCTTGATGAGTAGTATGAAAGAAATAAGACTTGTAAGAATAAAAGACCAATATGTATGAAAGAGGAATAAGGCTATTTATGAAGAGATTTGCTTTTGAACATATATTCTGTTAAATATATTTAAGTATGGAATTAGTGATCTAGGGGTTTTGGGGTTTTGGGGTTTTGGGGTTTTGGGG